ACAGAATGCAGTGCACTTGAACAGCAAGTATCTGCCATTGATCTATTAAGACACAAACACAGAATGGAGTGGGATGGGGAAAGATAGAGGCGAGCATCCTTGACTGCTCTTGATTCTGACAAAGGCAAGAGTGAGACTAAGGAGGAGGAGGGAGAAACAGACAAGCACTACCACCCCCTCGACCACTTATAAATAAGAAAGCAGACAGAAGCTGGCTTTTGCCCTGACTCAAGCAGCCTCCACTTGAGTCAGGTTAATATGCCTCTTTTCTTCAGCTGCCGTTCCAGCTATCTTGATATGAGATAGGAAGCAGGAGTTGTGTAACACTTTGCAAGAACAAAACATTTGATATTTGGCCTATTGTAAATAATTAAATTTACAAGCGGCCATGTACCTCCCCTCTCTTCCACCTGCATGGCAGAGAGGAAAACTTTGGAATCTTTTCTTTTTATTTCACTGAACCACAGCACTCCATTTTGCCCAAACACTAAGAGTGGTTTGTTTCATCACAAACCATGGGTCAAGAAGCTGGCTTCTTTAAATGAACCATGGTTAGCATGAACCATGATCTCTGGTTTGATGGAAACGAGACACTGTGGTTAACTAAAACTGGAAGCTTCTCAAGTCCTCCTCTCGGGGTTGTGGGAGGAGAAGAGAGGAAGGTATATATATATCGAGAGCATGTCGCACTAAGACTGGAGCACCCAACATGTCTGTTCACAACTCGCGTCATCATTCAGAGCCAGTGTGGTGAAGTGATCTGAGTGTCAGACTAAGACCTGGGAAACCAAGGTTCAAATCCCCCTTCACACATGAAACTCACCTAAGGCCAGGCATAATCTCTCAATGTAATCTACCTCACAGGGTTAGTGTGAGGATAAAATAAGGAGAGGGGGAAACATGCAGGGCACCTTGAGTTCCTTGGAAGAAAAGTGGGATATAAATATTTCAATAAATAAATACAGATATACATAAATCCCACCCCATGCTGGATGAGGCTAACAGGAGTTGCAATTCGGAAGGATAGCCACATTCCCTACACACACACCAAAGGGCAGCATTTACAGAGTCAGGGAGGTCAAGGAATTATTACCTTATTCACTAGTGTTTTGTGGGCAACTGATATGAAAATAGCAGGCAGGAGACACGTATGCTTGGGTAAGAAACCCGCCAAATTGCAGACGAACAGCTCCAGGGCCTTGTCTTGTTTTGTGTGTGTGTTGGGCCCCTTTAAATTTGATTTATTCATATATATTTTTGAGGGGGAGAGAATTAGAAGGGATCCACGTTCCTCCCCTGTAGAGTTACGAGCAGCTATTCAATGGTAGTGCCTATATGCTAGGGCTGCTATATGTCCGGACATTACCGCGATTTGAAAGGCCATTTTAATAATAATAATAATAATAATAATAATAATAATAATAATAATCTTTTAATTAGTTTTACATAAATTTATACATTATAAACTTTGACCATTTCAAAACATATAAATAAAAATGTTCTTTTGAACATTCGGACCTCTTCCCCTCCCATCAAAGGCGGAATTGATGTCCGGGGGGGGGGGAGGACTTCCGAAAAGCTCAACAATTTTGGGGTGTCCTGGTTTTCACTTTATGAAATATGGCACCCCTACTATGCAGAGCAATGGAAGTGCCTTGCTGAGCAAAGTAGGCTGAGAGTGATCGAGGAACAGGATCAGCCTTGCCAGTGCTAACCCAACGTCACCACACTACAGACGTCTGGAGGGACACTCTTGCACTATTGCACAATGAAAGCAAGATAATGCTCCCCACCTGACCCCTGGGAACATTTCTGATGTTAAAAGTTTTAGCAGGATGTGACAGGCTATGCACCGTTTGGAAACAAAGCAGTATATTTGTCCACAAACCTTTGTGGGCACAAAGAGTATTGAAAGCGGGACCCCCAATCAAATGCCCCATATCATCCTGAATGCACAATAAAAAGGACACCAGGAAGGGCCCCAACTTATATCACAACACTCCCAGTTTGTAAGGGTAGCACACAGGGCCATCTTTACCCTGGGATGCAAGGGGTGCAGGGCACCCGGGCGCTGAATTCTGGGTGGTGCCAGGCGCCCACTGCTGTAGCCACCTAAGCTCTTAACTATCTACCTGTTATGAAATAATAAATAATTTTGATCATGCTAGAAAAACAAAATACATATATACCTAGGTATCACCGAAATGTATACCTACGCCCTTGCACAAATCAATTGAAACAAATCACATTTTCTATCTTGCTCATAATCCTGTACTCAGAACAAACACGAAAAGTCAGTTGATCATTAAGGTGTTGGAAGCCTGGAGCCAATAGAAGGAATGATGCGTTCACCACAATATATTGAGGTTCTACGAAAGAGAGTTATTCCAGAGCTGGCAAAGAGGTGTCCTGATGGTACTGGGATATTGCAGCAGGACCTAGCCCCCTGTCACACATCAAAATAAATTCATGACAGAGCAGCAAATACAGGTACTTGATTGGCCAGGGAATTCCCCGGACGTAAATCCCATTGAGAATTTGTGGGCTATATGCAAAAGTCGCCTCTGTGCTGTAGATTGTATGACTACGCAGAAGCTCATTCAGGCACTGATTCAAGTGTGGTAATCAGCGCCTGAATCAGCTTCTGAAAATCAACAGTGACTGTTCGAAACTAATAGATTCCATGCCAAACTGTGTTCAAATGCTGCTTAAAAATAGCGGAGGTCGTATCTGTTATTATTGTACGTATATGTGAGTTTTGTACAATAAACTTCTAATTCATTGTTTGTTTCAATTAATTTGCACACAGGGTGAACTGTTTCACTAAAGGACTTTCAACTTTGTCCGCTCATTTACCGAAGACGCGCTTGTCATTCACAATGGCAGCGCTTGTCAAACGAGCCAACAACAGCACTTGTCATTCTCTCTCTCTCTTTTTTTTTTTTTTTGAAGTTGTCATTTGGCAAATAAAATATTTTAATCCAAACACATCTTTTCTTGAGATATCTTGCTTGCGGAGACAGTGTTATTACATAAAAATGATGAATGCTATTTATTTCCTTGCGAATCTTTTTTTAAAAAAAGATATTTATTAAAGTTTTCAAAATGTTACAAAAAGAAAAAAAGAAAAAGAAAAAAAAACAAAGTAAAAACAGTTAAAAACAATTCAATCTTTCCGTATCTTATCTTTCATTTGCTTGTTCCCCAGACCTCCTCACACCTCCCTTTTTTGTATTCCAGTTCAATTAGTTGGTTCAGCAAATCCTTTCCCTCTTTGTTTTTATCCTAATCTTTAATCTTAATATATTATAACTTTAGATTATCACCTGTTAACAATCCATTTTTGCACATTCCTTTATAACATTACTGCTAAAAACCACTTAACTTCAATCCAACATCATTCTAACATTCAGCACTTGTCATTCTCAATGGCTCTGTGCACGCAAAATTAACTCTTACAAAATATTACGTTACGTATTGTATTGAGCTGCCTCCTGGCTGCATGCAAGCCATGCGAGATCAGTCATGTCAAAGGTGCCGCTGACCCCGAGTGAAACATTGCAAATTGCATTTTAATTTCATCACTTACAGTTCAAATTCGTTTAGAGAAATCATTTAAAAAATAATGTTTATTTTCGCTATTTGTCAGCATTTTCTTTGACTAACTACTTAGTACTTAGGGCTCTACTACACATGCATTTCAGCACGCAATTTTAGTTTTCCATTTCTGCAAAAACATGCCCAGAGCATACACACACTATGATTTCCGTGAGCTGCATTTTTTTCTTCATTTTACGACAAATGCTAAAGTTAATTTGGGGGCTGAACTAAATTTGGGGGCGCTGGGAGGATCTTTGCGCCCTGGTGATGCATATGCTAAGGACAGCCCTGGTAGCATGACATAATTTTAACATACATCCCACCCACCTCCATGGCTATATGGCACTGTTTTCGGTGGCCTACTTCATATTTGATGTTTAGAATATTTTCAGGTACATTTGCCAAGACTGTTTATGAAAGTCTTAAGTTTTAAGACAATCCAATGCTGTAATAGCAATCACTCTAACTGTAAACTGTGCCACCTAACAGCCTTTAAATATACATATGCAGATATTATGCAGATCCACTGTCTTTCCAGACCCCTTCTTGGCCATGCATGAAGTGGCCACAAAATCCACCCCACCCCATGCAAACCCATAAAACTATGCAAAGGAGGGGGGAAATATATCTGAAAGACCATCTCCATCCCTAATGACCTCCTCAGGTGCTAAGATCTGCAGAGTAGAGTTTCTTGGTAGTTCCATCACCCTCAGAGTGCAAGGAATGGAGGTCCAGGGCAGGGTCCCTAAATTGTGGAACTCCCCCTCCACAGAGGTGCATCTAGCATCTTCACTGTACAGGTGATGCTTAAGTTGCACTTCTTTAACCCACCCCACCCCACACTTTGACAGGTAAAGTATTTTGCATTGTAGGACCCACCTCTTTAGTTGAATTTTGTGTTCCGTTCCATATGGCTTTATATGTCTTATAATTGTAATGGGTTTATCACTTTTTATAATTATATGTTATATGGTTGTAGCCCACCCTGGAAATTTATGGTGGGCAAGAAATCTAATAAAATAAATAAATACATTGAGACTATAGTCCCACTCAGAGTAGGTTCATTGAAATTAATGAGCATAACTAAGGCTCCATCTGCACTATATATTTAAAGCAGTATCATACGACTTTAAACAGCCATGGCTTCCTCCAAAGAATCCTGGGAACTGTAGCTTGTTAAGGGGGCTAAAAGCTGTTTTACTTCCCCAAGTAAAACTTAATTGGAGGCAATCCATGACTTCAGAGTCTGCACATGTTTGGGGTCACCAAACTGAAATGGGAATTGCTTAACTTAACCACCCCAAAAAATAAGCTGTCACACACATTGACATTTTGAGTTCAGTGTCATCCTGCTTCTTGATCCACTAAAACCACAAAGTCCATAAACGAAAACTACTTACGAAAAGGCGAAAGCCACCAGAGCCCCACTGACCACAATAAAATCCAGGATGTTCCAGAGGTCACGAAAATAGGCACCAGGATGAAGTATTAGGCCCAAGTCAATCATCTTCAGAGAAGAACCCAAAGCAAAGCAGAGTACAGAATGAGATATTCAAGGGTGCAACAGATTGTGTGTGGCATGCAGAGACGGACAGAAAAAAGACACGGGCAGATATGGGGGGTGGCCTTCCAGATCTTGCTGGACTACGACTTCCATAATCCTTGACCACTAACCATGTTGGCTATTGGCTGATGGGAATTGGAGTCTAGAGGGCCACAAGTTCTCCATCCTTGGACTAGAGAGTCACAAGCAAGAGGTGCAATAAAATGAGCGGAATGCTCATTCTCATAAAAACATAAAAAGAGCCCTGCAGCCAGATCAAGCCAATGACCCATCTTATCCAGCATCATTTGCTCACAGTGATCAGCTAGGTGCTCACAAGCAAGACATGAGAACAACAGCTCTCTGCCCACCTGTGATTCTCTGCAACTGGTATTCAGACACACTGAACATGGGAGAAAGTGGCCATCATGGCTAGCAGTCATTGTTGCATTATCCCACATTGCATTTCAGTCCTGCCCCCCCCCGACAATCAAGTCCATGTCTGGTGACCACTGGTCATTTATTTTGTACAAAGGCTATTACTTACAAACAATACAAATCTGTTAGGAGTATTAGCATATATAAGGAGTGGGGGACCTTTTTCAGCCAAGGGTGGCATTCCCTTCTGGGTGGGGCCAGAAGCAAAAGTGGACAGAGCAACACGTGTTAATTTTACCATGGTGCAGCAGGTTAGTTTCTACACACACTCACACACCCTTCTCTGTGCTCTGTAAGGACAAGCAAGTGGCACCATCAGTTCAAGGGCACATTTCATCCAGGCAAAACCACTCCAACACTATGCATAGCAGGGCCAGTGATAAGTGTGGCTGAGGATCAAATGGAAAGATATGGAGGGCTGCACCCACAGTCCCACAGGCTGAGGTTCCTGGGAAGATTATCATAACTTAAGGGCAGTTTCATATGAAGGGAAGCTGTCTTTCAGATATTCTGAGCTCAAACAATTTAGGGATGTGTAGGAAAGCAACCGGGACATGGGTGGCGCTGTGGGTTAAACCACAGAGCCTAGGACTTGCCAATCAGAAGGTCGGTGGTTTAAATTCCCGCAACAGGGTAAGCTCCCGTTGCTTGGTTCTTGCTCCTGCCAACCTAGCAGTTCAAAAGCACGTCAAAGTGCAAGTAGATAAATAGGTACCGCTCGGGCGGGAAGGTAAACGGCGTTTCCGTGTGCTGCTCTGGTTCTCCAGAAGCGGCTTTGTCATGCTGGCCACATGACCCGGAAACTGGACTCCAGCTCCCTCAGCCAATAAAGCGAGATGAGCGCCGCAACCCCAGAGTTGGCCACGACTGGACCTAATGGTCAGGGGTCCCTTTACCTTTACCTAGGAAAGCAACCAGCACCTTGCATTGGGACCAAAAATGAGCCAGAAGCCAGTGCAGTTGAACTAAGGCAGTGTAACATGGAGAGAATCTAAGCTGTTGCATTTCTGCACCAGCTTCCAAGCACTGCAGCAGTTTCACCTCCTTGAAGTCCAAATCTACCCTCAAGTGACCCTTTCATCAGCAAAGGAGCACCCCCAATATACCACCAAAAGCATTGGTGGGTCTGACAGCTGCTTAACCCCCAGTGAAATTTTGCTGAAAATGACTTCTGGTGAAGGCTTATAGTGAGGAGCACAAAAAAGGGGTGCCATGCCATTCCAAAAAGAGCATGAGGGTGGTCTAAATACAGAATCAGCAGTCTTCTTGACTGCTACATTAGCCATGCAGCTCCCCTCCCGTAAAGGCCCAGCTCGCTTCCTGTTCCTCTGTGCAGACAGATCATAAGAGTACTGGAGAGATATTCTTACCTTTATCACCATCTCAAATGTAAAGACACCTGTAAATATGTAATCCAGGTACTTGAGAGCCTAAAATCAGAACGGGAAGTTTGATGTTAAAAAAGGAAGCAGCGAAAATGTAATTAGATGAGAAAATGTCATGCTTCTAAGGAGATAGAACATTTTACTACTAGGATTCCATATGGGTTGCTTCAAGGCTTTAAAGGGTTCACCCACTTCCTCCTAGAGTACTCAGAGAGTGATAGGATCTGCCTAGGCTAGAACTAGAAATCCTGAGCTCTCTGAACATGTGCCCCAGGTGGTGAGCCAGGCTGGGGGATGTCCCTGCACCAGGGATGGGGAAACTTTGGTGCTGCAGATATTGCTGAACCATAATTCCCATCAACCTTCAGCAACATGGCCAATAGCCATGGCTGATGGGAGTTGCAGGTGCATGGTGCCTGTGGAAACATGCAGAAAATATGTGGGAGATTGTAGAGTTGTTTCCTATAAACATCCACCCCACCTACTCGGAATGGCAAGTTTAGCAGCAACCTTGCGGAGATTTCATAAGATGCTATTCCTTACCTCATTCCTTGGTGACTCAGCTTGGACGGGGTCTTCCGCTGCCAGGGCAATACTGCTGAGGGCTATGACGATGAGGATGACCATTTCAAAGTAACGCATGTTCACAATGTAATGGCACAGTCGCCGGATTCTGTAAGGGCCAGACCATTTATGTATACACGTATTTTAAGAGCACAACAAAGAACTGGTTTTTCCACATGTGACAGCTATATTTATTTTCATTTACTTATTTGATTTCTTAGCTGCCCTTCAACATAAAGTCCCCATGTAGGCTACAATTTTTGTTTTAAATAGAAACACAATGCTAAAATCAATTAAAACAAATCACAGTCAAAAAAATAGGATGGGACCTAATTTTCATATCTCTGTGTAAGCAGGCTTGTGCTTGGCATTGCTCAGGAATTTTAAGGAACCAAAATATCTATGCAGTTTTGAAATTAATCGGCGGAAATCTGTGCAGTTTTCAATGGTTCAGTCTGCCATATTGATTCAGAATGGCACTCAACTGCATCCAAACATAGAGTGTCCTAATGCATACTGAGTGTCTATCCAAAATATATAGTAGATATCCAAGGAGTCAAAGGTCAGAGTCAAAAGGGGCAGCAGCCCAAGATCCATGATTTTGACACAGTCCAGTTTACTTGGTGGAAAAAATAGAGGACCCTCACCCAATGGCTGGGTACAATGCCATGATGACCATAAATCTGTCACTGGCTTATTGGCTTATTGGGCTGTATACAGCTAAGGGCTCATCCAGAATTTCTTTTGTGCTGCATTTTCCAAGCACAGGTTTGTGCTTTAAAGCTCTGTGTCCAAACCCTTTTTCACTCCTGTGTTTTCCCTGGGAAAATGCAGGTTTTGCCACTGAGTTGGAGCAAATGGCAATCTGCAGAAAACCTGGTTGCCATTTGTAAAATGTGGGTTTTCCCAAGGAAAGCGCCAAGATAAAAAAAACCCAAAAAACCTGCTTGGACACAGAGGTTTAGAGCCCAGTCCTGTGCCTAGAAACGCAGCACAGAAGGAAGTCTGGATAAGCCCTCTGTTTTACACAGAGTAGATCCATTGGGCTCAATAGCTCTAAGTTCATCATGTGTATTACTTTCAATGGGTCTACTTTGAGTAGGACTAACATTGACTGCAACCCTTTAACAACAGTTTAGACATACAATGCAGAAAAGCAGCTGTGAGGACTTACGGGTTTGTAGGACTTAAGATGAACATGGAGCTATATGGCAGGATAGGTTTTGGTCCCTTCTCTGTAAAGTCATCATCCACATCCATGTCTTTCTTCTCTTCTATTTTAGTTTCAAATTCAATGTTGTTCACTGCAGTTGACAAACACATTGACAACAAGGCATCAAAATGGGGGCTTCCTAATTACTGAAACTAGCAGCAATCTGGACACTGAGTCAGAAGCTGCAGGACATCAGACAGGGAGCTAAAGATAGGGAGACCACTGTGCCTGAAGCTGTTGGACAAGAACCACAAGAGGAACATATCAGACCACCAGAACCTGTAGGTCCAGAGCCAGGACACTCACAGACACATTTCCCTGAGGAACCACACACACCATCAGTCTGGTGGCACATGGAGCGCATCAGGAGGGAGGCTGTGGAACAAAGGAAGAGTGGCCATCTTCATGCCAGAAGGTTGGTCCTTCTGAAGGTCTCTTTATAAGGACTGGAGCCAAAAGAGGTAGTCTGGAGACACAGACTTAAAAGGCCTCAGTCTGCTCCGAAGCTTTGTGGGAGCAAGTTGCTCACTCGGAGCTGTACATGGTCTGGCAACTCTTGACCAGCCTTGCCTCTGGTTTCTCTAAGGGATCTGACACTGGACTAGAACATGACAGTAAAGCAGCCTTTCCCAACTTAGGGCCCTTCCAGCTGGTGAGCACAGATGGGGAACCAGTGGCCTTCCAGATCTGGCTGTACTACATCTACTGTCACTCCTGACCATTGGCCATGCTGGCTGGAACTGAGGAAAGTAGGAATCCATCAACACCTGGAACACACCAAGCTGGGGAAGGATGTCTTAATGATGTGGCTAGTTAACTGCCTGATTTTAGCCAGTTAATTGGTTGTAGAGAAATCCTAGCCAGGTCTACTCAGAATCCCTCCTACAAAGTACTGACAATCTGGAGGTGGTGACAGTTTCATTGGAGACAGCTGGTTCAGAACCTGAGTGGTGTCCCTCTGCCCCCAGAACTCAGAGTCCTAACCCATCTCAGAAAGAACCATATGGAACATAGTTCAATACTAGAGCATCTATAGTAGCAAGGATGCAGGGAACATTTAGGACTCCAGATGTTGCTGAACTACAGCTCCATCAGTCAATGGCCAATGCAATGGAGGAAAAGGCCAATGTCCGAGATCTTGGAAAACCACTGCCAGTTTGAGTAGATAAAACTGAGCTGAACATTTATTTCATTTTATATTCTGCCCTTCTCCCTGAAGGAGCCCAGGGTGAAAAACACAGCAGTGTGTGTGTGTATATTAAAACATTCTCCAACCAGTGCTCTTACGATTGGCAGAAACAGTATGTTTCAGCCATCAAATGCCTCAGTAAACAGGTATGTTTTTTAAGTCCCCCCAAAATTTGCCCTCTGCGCCTATCCTTTGATCCTGCAAAGGGTGCAATGCCGTTGGTGGCAGGACCATCAAAGCCTTGCCTGCTGATTATAGAATTTTAGGTACTTGGGTCCCAGGCCATTCTGAACTCTGAATGCTAATACTTACACCTTGAACTGGACCAATCAGCTCACTGGCAGCCAGTGAAACACTTTCAGAAATAGTGACACACCACCCATCTGGCTACCCCACTTACCAGCCCAGCTGCTGCATTCTGCATTAGCTGCAGCATCTGGATCATCTTCAGGGGAAGCCCCCCATACAGCACATTACCACAGTCCAGGTGGGAGGTCATCAAAGCATGAGCAATGGATGGAATAATAGTCTGTTGGAGTAACTCACTTGGTATGATGGCGGCTTCCCCAGGAGGTGCCGTGACAGTGACAGGAATGTTCACAGTTGCAGATTTGTCCAGAGATGGCTGACCCATGCGAGTGACGTTCTTCTGATTGTCAGCATCTTCTGGCTGCTCAAGCACCCTCTGCAGACAAGTGCTAGGCAAGGTGTGCAGAGGGGCAACAGTCACACTCCCACTGGCCTCTGTGTCACACTGACCTTCCCTGAGATTACAAGAACAGAGACAACAACAAAAACATCACTGTGAGTCAGGTCTTTGGGGCTGAAGCCCTTCCATAGCTTCTTCAGGCCAGGATCTACCTGCTGACTTCCTGGATGATTTGCAGGAGGTCAGAAAACTCCTTATACTTCATTGCATCAACAAAAAGCTTATAAAAATCCTACCCTGAACTGAATGTGGAGTTGTAATTCTACTACCCAGGGAGGTAAGTAGGTAACTAGCCTTTCCCCCTAAGCTGCCATTTTGCATCTGGATCCGTGTCCCTCCCCACCCTATTTTGTACCTGGCTGTACAGTTCTGCAGGACCTGCTGCTCAGGATGCCTCAAGGCACTTGGGGTATATTTTAGGGGGGTTTTTAGAGTCAAGATTTAATTATGGAGATTCTTAGCTTTGTTGTTATCAGTATTGATTTTTTGTATGTAAATTGTGAGATCTTATTATAACCTATGAGGGGATTGCTTAATTGTGTACTTACTTCAGCTGTTTTTCTTTATTGCTTATGACTGCTTGTGGATTTTTTTTAATTGTGTAAATCTGTCCATGGTGTAAGCCACCTTGAATATGGTTTAACAATGGAAAGGTGGCATACAAAGACATGACAATGATGATCCAGTGTGAATATAATGATGGTAACCCAGTGTGGTGTAATGATTAGTGTTGGACTAGGATGTAGACTAGGATGTGTTGGACTAGGATGTCCCATCACCTCCTGGCAAATAGAAGGGGAAGAAATGGAGGCAGTGAGAGATTTTACTTTCTTGGGCTCCGTGGTCACTGCAGATGGTGACAGCAGCCACGAAATTAAAAGACGCCTGCTTCTTGGGAGAAAAGCAATGACAAACCTAGACAGCATCTTAAAAAGTAGAGACATCACCTTGCCAACAAAGGTCCGTATAGTAAAAGCTATGGTTTTCCCAGTAGTGATGTATGGAAGTGAGAGCTGGGCCATAAAGAAGGCTGATCGCCGAAGAATTGATGCTTTTGAATTATGGTGCTGGAGGAGACTCTTGAGAGTCCCATGGACTGCAAGAAGATCAAACGTATCCATTCTGAAGGAAATCAGCCCTGAGTGCTCACTGGAAGGACAGATCCTGAAGCTGAGGCTCCAATACTTTGGCCACCTCATGAGAAGAGAAGACTCCCTGGAAAAGACCCTGATGTTGGGGAAGATGGAGGGCACAAGGAGAAGGGGAAGACAGAGGGTGAGATGGTTGGACAGTGCTCTCGAAGATACCAGCATGTGTTTGACCAAACTGCGGGAGGCAGTGGAAGACAGGAGTGCCTGGCGTGCTCTGGTCCATGGGGTCATGAAGAGTCGGACACAACTAAACGACTAAACAAGAACAAGGATGTGGAAGGCCACGGTTCAAATTCCCATTTGATTACCTTGAGCCAGTTCTTGTGGGGATTAAATGAGGAGGGCGAGAACCATGAACAAGAGCTTGAGCTCTTTCGGAGGGAAGAGGTGGTCTAATAAACAACAAATTGTGGTGATTGGTACCAGAACTCATTTGTTCTGCAAAACATGGAATGAAAGGAAAATTAAATCCTGCAACCGAAGAGTCTTTCTGTGGCTGCTTTAGGTGTAACAGGCTCCTGAGAAGAAGTTATTTGATTGAAGAACCCAGCTTGAGAGCACACAGAGAAACACCATTGCCAACATACCCCTTTCTCACTACATTGTGAACTGTGAATCAATGATAGCAGAGACTTCTGATTTCTCAAGTCATGTTAAGCAGAGGGTTTGTTGTCGTGCAAGATTCCCAGGCTTGATTCCCGTTATGCATTTACGTGCCTTTGGACAGCTTCAAACAGTATGAAGAACAGAGCTGCCAGATTATTGACAGAGGCTGGCTGTCATGAGCTTATGCAATCTGTTTTGCTGTTTCCTACTTTGTTTCCAGGCATGACCTGGACTGGCCTGAAACATTTTTTCCCCCTTCCTGAAGTGAAGGGCAAGATGAGGGGCAGAGAATGTTTTTCATCCTGGAGGCTATGTTCCTTCTGGACAACCATCAGGGTCATAGACAAAAGTAGGTGGTTTCTACAACATACTCAGACACCTCTCGTCTATCCTCCATCCAGGCAAGCAAGAGTCATTCTTAAACTCTGAGAATGGGCATATTCCAGCCAGGGGGGAAAACACCCAACGAAGGTATGGAGTAGGATGAGTGAGGAAGGACATGTGACCTGGACCTGGGTCACCAGGTCCAGATACAGAGGCCCAGAGGGCTGATGTTCCCCATCTCTTGGCATGATGGATCCCTCCACACCTGCACACATATTCTCCAGATAGAATCCTATTGGACAGACAGGCAAGTCTGGCTTCAGGTAATGGGGTAGCATCCTCATCTGAATGTAAGAGCAGCAGATAAGGACGGAGGAGGAACCTGTCCTACTCAGATTCCAAAGCAGACTAACCTGAGTTTGCCTGCCTAGCAGATTTGGGGGCTGCTTTGTCTACCTGTCATTCAATTGACACCATAAATGTAAAGCCACAGCAGTGAAGGGGGTTGCTCCTTTACAGTGGGGATTGCGTTTTGCTATGTAGAGTTTTTGTGGTGCTGATGTTTTTATAAGACTTTGCTAAGTTGACAACTGCAGCTATTACCCCTTCCTCTAGCGTGGAATATTGGGTTGGTGATGGTTCAGAAACCATCAGAAACCCCAGAAAGTCAATACTGGCCTTTTGCCCACTGGGACTGGGAGGGTTGAAGCTGGGGAGGGCAGCAGTAGGTGGCACCAGACTCAACGACAGGAGAAGTCAACTAATTCTGGTTTTCCCCATCTCCTCTTCACTGTTGAGTTCTTCCTGAGCAAATCTGAGTCAAAGGAGGAGGGAGCTGATGGGCAGTGCCACTCCCTAGATTGGCTGTAAGTAAGAAAGCAGGCAGGTGGGGGCTGGCTGAGGGCAAACTCAGCTTGGTGGAGCAGTGCGCTATTGCTCAAATGAACCAGTCGCCGCTGATCCAGGGACATAGAAAATATTCACTAGGAATAGGCTTTTGCTAAGGAAGTCTAAGTTCACAGCCCCAGAATGCCAAGCAAAGGGGTGCCAAAACCGGCCCCAGGGACATCAGGGCAACCACACAGTCATCGTCTGGCAAAGTGCAGAAAAGGCTTTCTCAAGTCCTGCTGATTAATTGGCTGTGGCATGTAAATTGCTCTCAAGTGTATTATTATAGCTCAGGAACTGTTCCAAAAATCCAAAAATCTTTAAAAACAAGACCCCGCAAGGAGACTCCAGCAGCCAAAATCTATACCAGCCCTGCTCGTCCCTATGCAAGCAGCTAACAGCAACCCTGGGGGAGCCATTTATTCCTAATCAGAGTTTGTACCTTGCAGCAGTATCATTACATTGCAGTCCCTGCATGCGTTCCCCCTTTCCTCCAGAGCTAAGCTTTTCCTCCAAAGCTGAGCTGGCACCTTGGCCATGAAACAATTCTCCCAAGTTATCATAAATGCTGGGGAAATCAGAAGTGTGTGTGAGGAGATCTGCAGCGATCATTAAGCTTCTGATTGGAGCCACTTTATTCATTTATTGCATTTATATGCCACAATTTTCCTCCAAAGAGATTAACATAGCTCTCCCCCCTCCTCAGTAAACCTCTACAACAACCCTGTGTTAGGCTGAGAGGTAGTGTCTGGCAGAAGACCTCACCCAGACATCATCATAGCTGAGTGGGGATTTGAACCATGTACACCACATTGAGATCATTGGAGACAAAAAAGTGGGATGAAAATGCAATGAATGAATGAATGAATGTGCAGGGCTAGAAAACCTCTTCCCAGTGGTCCAAACGTGGCCTCCACCCCTCTGTCTCTCTCTTTCTCTTTCCCCTGAGACTTGTTCCTGTCCATCAGCTCTTCCCTCTTCTCTCCTCAAAGCACTGGTCTGGCTGCAGTGTGTGCTTGAACTGTGGTAGTGGATGGAGGATAGCCCCACCTCTGGGGAAAAACAATTGTCTACAATTGGTGGTGGCTGGGTCTGGCAGGGAGACCAAGAGTAAGAGTCAAAACTGCAGAGCCTCCCACTGATTTGTTGTAAGTAAAAAGGCAGTCATGTGAGGATTGGCTGAGGGCAGCCCAAGTGTGGTGTGGTACATTGTCCCCAAATCGACCAACTCCCACTGGCTCTCAGGTAGAAACAGGTTCTGACTTTTAGCCTTATTGGTTGGTTGCAATTATATGAAGGATTACAAAGGTTATTGTTTAGTCTGTTAATTTGGATGTATAAAGACAATGTAGGAAAGGAAACAAGAACTGGTTACTTCCTTTTGGCCACAGAGGCAACCTGCAATCATTGGAGCCGATTAAGAATGTTGTTAAATACTTAAATAAAAATGTAAGCAACATGGAACAGGAAGGCTTTATCCAGTATGTTCTAATCAAAGCAGACCCACTGAAGTTAATAGACCTACGTTAGTCAAATCAATTATTTCCAATGTCTACATCTTTGGGACTGGGAATTGCCACCCTGTATACACTCTTGCCTCCATCCTGCTTGCAAGAGTTGGCAAGGAGTATCTATTGTTTGTTTGTTTTGTTTTGTTTTAACATCCCACATTTTCTTTAAGGAGCTCAAGGTGGCATAGACAGTTTCCTCCCCTCTCCTCATTTCATCCTCACAGCAACCCTGTGAGGTCAGGTAGGCTGAAAGCAGGTGGCAGGCCTAAGGTGACCAAGTGGGGATTTGAAACATACTTTCTGTGGGATGTGAAACACAGAGCAGTTAAATACAACAATCCTAGAGAGGGATGTTTGTCCAGCCAGTAGATAACTTCCTGTTTCCTCCTGGGTTGGGACAAACTTCCTCTACATGTGACCAGAGGTGGGCATGACCTTACCTGTGCAGGTAACAAAATAGCACAGGGCAGGCAGCCATCCCTCTCTCTGACTCCATTCCTTGAAGAAGCAACATCTCCTTAGCCTGAGATGCTCTCTTGGCCTCCAGCCAAGAGAGGACAAAGGAACTATCTCCTTATGGGGTAGATTCCAAGTGTGTATACAGGCATTTTATAACCTAGGTCTGCCTTCTGGGATCCATCTGTGAACAGAATGTGTGAGTAAACTATTTTATACTTTTTATACAAGATTGTATCGTGTCTATTCTTTTTAGGAGGGAATAAAGGGGAATTACCAGGAAACTTATTTTAGAGGCTTATGTAACTCTGGCAACAAGTTATCCGCTGTGTAAGTTTAAAAGGGGAATGTTACTCTGCTAAATTATAGAACTTGCTAACACAAGTTGAGAAGGATATTATTAAACAATATATCCTCTCCTGCCTCCCTGAACATTCCCACACTTTCTCAGGTCCTAGTCTGACACTCTAACCAGTACACTGAACTGTGGGACTCAGCATGTTTCCTGAGCCCCAAAAATGGACCCAGCCCTTGAGATGACCTTCGTCCTGCACAGACCAAGCACTTCATTGGGACAGAACCTGACTCACCTTGGCTGGTGATTCCTCAGCTCCTTCTCTCCTGCCTCTCCCTCCTTTTCCCCATTCGGCTTGTCCACTGAATCATACGTGGACAGGGCCTTGTGTCGCATCTTGTGCCGTCTGTGGGGTTCTTCCCCTCCTTCCCCTTTCGAGCCAGGGTCACCTTCCCGGTTCCCAGGCCTGGACCCACCCCGGTGACGTGAACGACGCTCCGTCTTGGCTCCGTTGATGGTTCCATTGCCTTCTTTTGCTTGCCGCTCGGCTGAGTGCCGGTGACCCCGATGGCGTCTGTGCTCTCTCTCGGCTCCTTCCTCCACTGACCCACGGCGGTGATGCCTCCTACCTCCTTCCTGGCCCCGGCTGCGCTCACTTTTCCCTTCCTTCCCACTCCTCTCGCCCTCTTTACTGCGGCTCCTGTGTGTTCGATGACGCTCCTCTTTATGGTTTGGGCCAGATTCTCCATTCTCATCCTTCGGCACATTGCTCTTCTCCTGTTCTCCCCCCTTGTCCTTATCTCGATGTCGGTGATGCTTCCGCTGCCCCTCAGTGCTCACAGCTGGTGGGGGCTTCACTTCCTCCGTGACCTCTTGCACATCAACGGGACTCAGCTTGTTGATGTTGTTGTTGCGGCTGTCACTCCTTGGCTCAACCACTAGGGGGCGGTCCAAGTGAGTTTTCATATCTGGGCGGATGTGAAGGTTGGTAGCATAACGAACTCGATCTTCTGGGTCCAGCTCGTTGTACAGGGCTTCGCAGCTCGTCCGGAAGTTGTGCATTCGGATCTGGCTGGTTCTCTGCTCCCACACGGATTTGGACTTGGAGGCATTCTGCTGCTTGCTATAGAAGAGAGAGAGAGGCAGAAAGAAAGGAGCGATTGCAGGAAGGGGAAGATGGAGAAGAAGGAAGGGAAGCAGGGGGGAAAGGTGGTTACCATCTTACCCATAGCACTACAACAGCAAGATCTGGGACTACAAGGTGAAGGAAAAATGAACGTGGGGGTAATGACAAGATGGCTGGTAGAATACATAAGAAAGGGTAGAATCTTCCAGAAAACTGTAGATGTCCTCTTTGCTACTGTTTGCTCCTGATCTTACACAAGTCACTCAGGCAACCTTTCTGGCTGAAGATGCAGTACAGACAGTGGAGCCACTGCCCTGTCAACCCTGGCCTGGCTTCCTACTAGTCTGGTGGTCCTAGGTGATTTTAACATCCATGCCAACGCAACCTTACAAGGAACTGCTTGGGACTTACATGGAATACATGGCCTCCATGGGGCTGTCCCTGCATGAATCTGGCCCTTCTCCATAGCCATGGATTTACCTCTGTGGACATGGGTGATTCTATTTATCCAATGGAATAAAAGAAGTGCCACGGTCAGATTACTTTCTGAAGCTACTAGACTTCTATTGCAGGCTACACCTACAAGAAAGAAAAGTGGGAGGCTGCATAAGGAGCTTACCGATGATCTGAGAGTTAAGAAGGGCATGTATAAGAAATGGAAGAAAGGGGAAATCACAAAGGAGTAGACAACAGTTGCAGGGGAAAAGTCAGACTGGCTAAAGCTTGGAATGAGCTCAGGCATGCAAGAGAGTTTAAAAATAAAAATAAAAGGTTTCTTTGGCTATGTCCAAAGTAAGAGAAAGAACAAGCAAGTGGCAGGTCCTCTGTGTGGAGAAGACAGAGAAATGCTATGGGGTGACAGAGAGAAGGCGGAACTACTCAACACCTACTTTGCCTCTGTCTTCACCCAAAAGGAAAGTGATGCCCAGCCTGGAGATAACACAATAAATTATGTAAGGAGGGAGCTGAAGCCCAAGACAGGAAAAAAGGTAGTAAGGGAACACCCAGTTACTTTAAATGAATTCAAATCTCCAGAGCCTAATGAGCGGCATCCAAGGGTACTAAAGGAGCTTGTGGATGTAATCTCAGAGCCTTTATCTATGAACTGTGGGAATTCTTGGAGAATAGGTGAGGTCCCTACAGCCTGGAAGTGGGCAAATGTCCCCATCTTCAAAAGGGGAAGAAAGGAAGATCCAGGTGAGCTTAACATTGATACCAGGGAAGGTCTTAGAACAGATAATTCAACAGTCAGTCTGTGAGCATTTAGAAAAGGATGCTGTGATTACTAAGACCCAGCATGGGTTTCCTAAAAAATAAGTCATGCCAGACCAATCTCATTTCTTTTTTTGATGGAATTACAAACCTGATGGATCAGACAAATGGTGTGGGCATAGTATACAGTGGTGCCTCGCAAGACGAAATTAATCCGTTCCGCGAGTCTCTTCGTCTTGCGGTTTTTTCGTCTTGCGAAGCACGGCTATTAGCGGCTTAGCGGCTATTAATGGCTATTAATGGCTTAGCGGCTATTAACGGCTTAGCGGCTTTAAGAAAAAGGAAACAAACTCGCAAGAACTCGCAAGACGTTTCGTCTTGCAAAGCAAGCCCAAAGGGAAATTTGTCTCGCGGAACGACTCAAAAAACGGAAAACCCTTTCGTCTAGCGAGTTTTTCGTCTTGCGAGGCATTCGTCTTGCGGGGCACCACTGTATCTTGATTTCAGTAAGACTTTTGACAAAGTCCCCTATGATATTCTTGAGAGGAAGCTGGTACAATGTGGGTTGAATGAGGTAACTGTTAGGTGGATTTGTAGCTAGTTGACTCACCGAACCCAAAGAGCACTGAACCCAAAGAGTACTCATTAATAGTTCCTCATCATCCTGGGGAAAAGTGACAAGTGGGGTGCCGCAGGGTTCTGTCCTGGGCCCGTTGTTGTTTAACATCTTTATAAATGACTTGGATGAAGGAATTGAGGGAATGCTTATCAAATTTGCAGATGACACCAAACTGGGAGCAGTAGCTAATGCCGCAGAAGACAGAATCAGAATTCAAATGACCTCAACAGATTGGAGAACTGGGCACAAGCTAACAAAATGAATTTCAATAGGGACAAATGCAGGGCTCTGCATTTAGGCAGGAAGAACCAGATGCAGAAATATAGGATGGGGGACACCTGCTTACTAGCAGTATATGTGAAAAGGATCTAGGGGTCTTGATGGACCACAAGTTTAACATGAGTCAACAGGCTGATGTAGCAGCAAAAAAGCCAGTGCTATTCTAGGCTGAATCAACAGAAGTATATTGTCCAGATCAAGGGAAGTAATAGTTGCACTCTATTCTGCCTTGGTTAGACCACACCTGGAACACTGTGTCCAGTTCTGGGCACCACAATTTAAGAAGGATGTTGACAAGCTGGAATGTTTGCTGGGAAGGGCAATCAAGATGATCAAGGATCTAGAAACTAAGTCTTATGAGGAATGTTTGAAGCAGCTGGGTGTGTTTAGCCTGGGAAAGAGGAGTCAGAGAGGAGAAATAATAGCCATTTTCAGGCCCCGAAAAGACTCAATATGGAGGCCAAATGGCCGAAATATTGGGAAATATTAGAAAAAGATGGAGATTCTTGGAGGCTGCAGAGTTTGGAAAAACTAAAAGACAAAGTGCGAGATTGGCTACACTATGCTCAGATTAAAGAGGCTTTTAAATTGGACAAAAAGATAGGATTCCAGGTGGAAAAATCGAAGTTAGAAACAGAATTGTTGGAGCCCAAGGTAAAGGTACTATCTAAAATGTACAACTTGCTGCTAAAATGGAATACACAAGATGAAACGGTTAAATCAGCCATGATAAAATGGGCACAAGATATTGGGTACAACATTATGTTTGCTGACTGGGAAAAGTTATGGACCACCGGTGTGAAGTTCATGGCATGTAATGCCTTAAAAGAAAATATTATGAAAATGATATACAGGTGGTACATGACCCCAGTCAAGCTTGCAAAGATATACCATTTGCCTGATAATAAATGTTGGAAATGCAAAGAATCTGAAGGAACGTTCTTTCACCTTTGGTGGACATGCCCCAAGGTTAAGGCCTTCTGGGAAATGATATATAATGAGCTGAAAAAGGTATTTAAGTATACCTTTCCTAAGAAACCAGAGGCCTTGCTTTTGGGCATTGCCGGCCAAAAGGTTTTAAAGAAGGATTATACTTTTTTTATGTATGCAACAACGGCAGCAAGGATACTGATTGCTAAATACTGGAAAACACAAGATTTGCCCATGCTGGAAGAATGGCAGACGCAACTGATAGACTACATGGAACTGGCAGAGATGACAGGCAGAATCCGCAACCTGGGAGAAGAAGCAGTGGAAGAGGATTGGAAGAAATTCAAGGATTATTTACAAAAATACTGTAAACTGTATGAATGTTAAGAAAATGAAAGAGTTAAAATAAGTCTGGCTTCAGTAAATCAGTTAAAAAGAGTCTGAGAGTATAATGAAATTTGAGTTAAAGTTAACCTTTGAATAACATTAGATCTAAATTAAGATTTTAAATTTTTGGGAGATAAATTCAAAATGGAAAACATAATAATTGGCGGCTGAGGGAGAGGCAGTAGGCAGACACAAGTCCCCTCCGTTTCAGGCAGCGCGGAACCTGCAGGCACCTAAGCCACCACGTCACTCCTAAAAAGTTTCGTGAGCTGGATATTTTATTTTTTTTAAAACTCATTTTGTCAACCCTCCCCCCATTGATGACACCAGGGGCGGACCGCACCCCCCCCCCAACACCCCTTCCTCCGCCACTGCCTCAACACCCTTGACAAACTACAGCTCCCAGGATCCTTTGGGGGAAGCTGTGACTGTTTAAAGTGACATCAAAGTACTTTAAATGCCGGGATTGTGCAACAATATGACAGTGTGATATGCAGCTTCTATCTTTTGCTCTGCTGTTGTGGTCTTTAAAATTTTTAACATCTGCTCCTGACCCGTTTTCACTGCTTTAGCTGCTTTATCTTCTATTCCCCCCCCCCCATTTTCTCAAGGCTGAACTTCAGTACTTTCTTTTGTCTGTCCTGAATGTTTGAACATTCACCTTCATTGGACAAGTTCCCAAGTTCTAGTACTATGAATGAGGGAGAAAAACATCTCCTTAAGAACACAAGCAAAGCTCATCTAGTTGAGCATCCTGTTCTTACAGTGGCCAACCAGATGCCTCTGGGAAGCCCAAAGCAGTAGAAGAAGAAGAAGAAGAGTTTGGATTTGATATCCCGCCTTTCACTCCCCTTCAGGAGTCTCAAAGCGGCTAACATTCTCCTTTCCCTTCCTCCCCCACAACAAACACTCTGTGAGGTGAGTGGGGCTGAGAGACTTCAAGGAAGTGTGACTGGCCCAAGGTCACCCAGCAGCTGCAAGTGGAGGAGCGGAGACGCGAACCCGGTTCCCCAGATTAGGAGACTACCGCTCTTAACCACTACACCACACTGGCTCTCCTTTGATATTGAGGATTGATAACCTAATCTTCTATGAAATGCGGTTCCTTATCCATTTTCTCCTCAATGTGCTTAATTTTATCCACCTGCATCATGTTCCCTCTTACTTGTCTTCTTTTCCTAAAGTAAAAAGACCCCAAATGTTCCAATGTTTCCTCATAAAGAAGTTGCTTCAACCCATTAGTGTGAGAACATTGGAAGGGGCCTACTGGTTCAGATCAATGGCTGATGTAGTCCTATTTTCACAATGGCCATCCAGATGCCTGTGGCAAACCTACAGGCAGGATTCCAAGCACTCTCCCCTCCTGTGGTTTTCAACAACTGGTTTTTAGAAGCATCACTGCTTCTGACCACGGAGACAGAATGTAGCCATCATGGCTAGAACCCCATGGATCTTCCCCCAAGGCCCCTTCCAGAAACCTGGAGCCACCATAGGTCATCACTTGTTGAATGGCTTCCCTACAACTCAGCTCTGATCCCATCACCTGGTGGAAAAACCAAAGTAAGAAGTG